CGAGGTTGGGAGTTGGAATGAGGGCGACTCCTTATTCCTTAAAACGGAATCCTTGTAGCCCAACGCCAAACCCGCTGCCTTGCGGTCAGGTTTTTGGTTGAGAACCCTAATCGTTCTCCTGTCTAGGCCTGGGCAACCTGACAGTATCCTGCCCACGCAATACTATGAATTTTCCTTCAAACAATTTCTTGATGCTCTGGCCACCGCAGAGGATAATAAACGGTGCCCTATCTGCTGCATCGAGCAGGGTGGATAGGGGTTTGGATGCTACTGCTCAAGCCTTCCCGTCTTCTTATTCCCCCTCTTACGCTTTTTCACTCTTACCGTCCCATTCCAACTTCACTTATATCCCCCCAGTTTTCAACCCCCCGATTCTTGGCCCTTCCCCAACATGCTTTGCTAGGCATTTACCTTCTAATTTCAACTCACATGTGAACGCGGAGCGTCACTCCTGCCCTGTCGACAAGCCCATGTCCAAGCAAGCGGTCAAGCCCAGTTCATCGGCTTCCATTTGGAGCCCTCGATCCTCCTTCAGATTGGTATGCCTCAATGTTCGCACATTGTTTCAGATCGGTCAACAGGCAGCACTTGCCCGAACATTAGAGACCCTCTCGATCGATATCTGCTGCTTATCGGAAACCCGCCTGCAAGACTCGAGCTCTTTGCTCACTCTGCGATCCCCTTCAGGTGACACTAGCAGCACTTTATCTTTGCGCCTATCCGATGACGATACAACTTCCAGCACCGGCCAAGCCGATGTTGCTATTGCCCTGAGTCCCCGGGCTGAAGCTACTCTGGTTGACTGGATTCCAATCAGTAGCCGGAGGTGTGCGATCCGATTGGCTGGCTCGTTGAAAGCTTCGAATTCGCGTGGGACTAACAGGTGTCTATTCGTCATCACTGCCTATGCACCGACAAACTCTAGCGATGACTCTTTAAAAGACGACTTCTGTCGTCAATTGAACGAGCTCCTTCGCCACAGAAGAAGCTCAGACACTGTAGTGCTAGCTGAAGATCTGAACGCTCAAATTGGGAAATTATCCACTGATGAGCTGCATCTAGGCGGCCAACATGGTGTAGGCTCCCGTAATGATAATGGTGAGCGGTTACTTCATTTGTGTGAAGGTGCCCGCTTATTGCTTGCGAGCACTAATTTCCGACACAGCACCCGCCGGAGGGTGACTTGGCGCCCACCAGCCTCGAACCAGCTATGGACGGTACTCGACCGCATTGCGATAGGTTCCCGATGGTGAGGCTGCATCAAGAACTGTCGCTCGATTTGGAGCACATGTGTAGACACCGATCATGCACTTGTGTGTGCTGACCTGCAGATGCGGTTTGGCGGACGCCCACGAGGACGTTGTGACCGCATTGACACCAGCCAACTGGCGAAGCCACCTGTTCTGAATGCCTATCAAAGTAAGCTGTCATGCGAGTTGGATAAACGCTCACTGGATGCAATTGAAGCTCACTGGTCTCATATTCACCAGTCCTTAATAGCAGCAAGCAAATTCTCATGCGGTATGTCTAATCGCCAACATGGACATTGGGTTTCTTCACAGTCTCTGGAACTTATCGATGCTCGCCGGCATATTCCGGCTGGAAGCGAACACAATGAAACTCACAAAGTGCTCCGGGCAAATCTCGGTGCTAGCCTGTAGAGAGACCGCGAATCCTCGTTGTCTCATCGTGCATCAGAGATGAAAATGGCTGCCGCTTTTGGTAACCATCGTACGTTATTCCGTCTGATACGGGAAACGGGCAGCAGGAGACCTGGTGTTAGTGAAACTATACATGACGAGAGTGGACAGCCTATCCACAACTTGTCAAGACGCTTGGAGCGTTGGGCTGAGCACTTTGAAAGGCAATTTAATCGGCCAGAATTGTTAAATTTCTAGCCGGCCAGTGATCGCCCCGCTCCCTGGGCTGTCGCTTTGAATCCACCCTCTCGCTCAGAAGTCGAACGTGAGATCGAACTGTTGAAGTTAACTAAAGCCGCGAGACAAGATGATCTTCCTTCAGCCCTCTTCAAATTCGGGGGTCCTGCTCTTGTGGATGATTTACACGAGTTACTAGTGAAACTGTGGGAGCAGGAAATTATCCCAACCGACTGGAGCCGCTCCGTTATAATTCCGATCTTTAAACGAAGCTCACGTTCGGTGTGCGGCAGCCATAGAGGAATCAGTCTGATCTCCATCGCCTCCACATTGCTTGCCTCTGTTATCTTTCACAGACTGACTGCCACTCGTGAAAGCCATATTCGTGAGGAGCAAGCTGGATTTCGTCGAGGTCGTGGCTGCATTGATCACATCTTCACTTTGCGTCAGTTGTCGGAGCACCGTCACATATATTGGCGGCCCACCGTAGTCGTGTTCCTCGATATCAAAGGTGCATTCGATAGGTGGATAGACATGCACTTTGGGACTGTCTACTCAGGAGAGGTGTAGCTGAGAAATATGTAAATATTATCCGAGCATTATATGTGCTTAACTCAGGCGGAGTGAGGGTTTAAGGCAAGTTGTCGTCGCCCGTTAATGTCTCCAGTGGTGTGAGACAAGGATGCCCGCTGTCACCTTTCCTCTTCAACTTCGCTATTGACGAAGTTATGAGAATTGCGTTTACAGGACACGACTTAGAAGGTGTGGATCTGCTCCCAGGAGAACGATTTCTTGATTTGGAGTTTGCTTACGATATTGCCCTAATCTGTGACAGCTCACAAACATGCCAAGCGACACTAGATAGATTGGCACTGACTGTGCGTCACTTCGGACTTTGCTTCGCACTATCGCGGTGCAAAGCGTTCCTCCATGATTCGTTTGGACCGCCTCCTACGCTGACCGTTGGTGGCGATCAGCTAGACGTCGTTCTAAAAGTTCTATGGTTGTATCAGTTCCCGTGGAATTGAAGATGAGATCACGAACGGTATACAAAAGCTCGGGGCGCTTTTGCTAACCTTCGCCACTTATGGCGCTGGCGCGACATCACTCTCGTTCTGAAGAGTAGAGTGTACAATGCAGCGGCACGTTCGACCATTCTGTGCGATTGTGAAACCTAGTCCATTAGATCAACGGACCTGAAGAGGCTAGTTGCGTTCGACCTCCGGTGCCTTCGCATTGTAGCTCACCTCTGGTGTGAACAGCGAGTTAGCAATGGGCGTGTTCGACGCCTTGTTTATGGCACAGGAAATGGAAATGACCCGCTCAGCCCCGTTATTTCACGCACCAGGCTCCGATGGCTCGGCCACGTGATACGGATGCCAGCCTACCGATTCCTGGACATCCGTTGTTTGCGCGCCGTTGGTGTGGATGGACGAAGAGGAGGGGTGGCCAAGCGATGACTTGGTCGAGAGAAATGAAGGCCCTCACTTCTTAGCTGGCCTCGGTTGGAGCTTCACGGCTCCTTGGTTTGGGTCCGAAAGACGATGAACACGTTTGGCTGGATGCGCTTGCTGGTATGGCTTGGAGCCGACCTCAGTGCCGTTCGGGCTGTGAGTTTCTTTGTCCCACCCCATCCCTGTTAGCCTTTCCCTGCAACCACGATCTCACTATTTAGTTTTATATATTTTTGCGTAGTACTTTCTTTGATACACAGTAGCCGGCTGGTACGTTATCGGAAGGATGCCCATCCGTTACCGGTAGCTTAGCCGACTTGCACCAGTTGCATTTTTGCTACTTTTTCCTTCTATGTATTGCGGTAACGTAGCTGAGATGTTTCCCACCTCTACCTAACGGGTATAATGATGATGTTGATGATGCTTCTTTGTTACTCTTTGCTGGTTAACTCTCTGCTTCAGCGGCAATGATTACTTTGCTCTTGCTCGGGACTACTTTTCATTCTTGGCTTGAGGTGTTTCCGGTGACTCGCTTAAGTCACACCTTAGGTACTTCCCACAGCAGACCATCCTTTGATGGAAACGCTTTATCAAAACTTCCAATCTTCGTATTACAGCATTGTTTCCTTTAATAATACTTTCTCAGGTGTTCTCAATCTGTTTTAACCTCGAGGACGTTGAAGGCTAGTTTTATTGGCACCTATTCTTCTTCTGCCGAATAATTTGGTGTGCACATGCGTTCCACCCGCCGTGGTTTTCATCTCTTTATCTCCACAGATACAGATTACGGCAACATTGGCAGTTACTGATGAGTAGGAGGATTCTTGCTGATATTTTAATGGCTCATTCCGGCTGCTAACATGCCAGATTAGTTTAACCCCAATCCTTATAATCACCAGACAATCGTTTGACCCTATTGGGGCTGGTCAGCGGCGCTCACTTCCTCGGTCCCCTGCAGGCTACCGACCGGGACCGCTAGCAGCTTCCGCCATCGAGCCAAGAGCTTATGCTACTGAACGATGGGGGACGGAGACAGACCGTCTGAACTTGCAAGGTAACGGATATAGCCCATCCTATCCACCATTGACATGCAGGTTCCTACCATTGCAGAGGACTGTGGCTAGCCTCCGTGGTTACGACTTCCACTACACGGAAGTTCTGTTCGCATAACATTTGAGGACTGTGTACGTGAATGTTTAGACTACTACCAGTTGTTTCTTCCAATTGTAAGCACTATCCACAACATAGGCATTGCTAGCACACAGCCGTCCACCTCCGCCACTGCTTTACCATCGCTGAGTGGAAGCATCGCTGCAAAGATACTGTTCACATATGGTTCGAGCTGGCCATGGCGTTCGTTGGTATACACCCACAGCTGATTGCCGAATTCATTCCACTTCGATTGCTGCGCGTCAGATCTCAGACACGAATCGAAAGCCGGGCACTGATATCTGAACCTTGCTGCTTTTCAACCGAAAAGCGAATCATGTGCCCCAAGTTGTCGATCGACACACTTCTACTGGCGACCGCAAGGCAGTTGATAACTGCGCAATAGAATCGCTGTTTCTGTCCACAACGCACTCGTTTCGTCACAATAGCAAATCACATGCAACCGTCAAGCATGAATGGGCTTTTCATGTTGTTTTGTGTTTTGGAATAACACACACACACACATCAAACTGCTTTAGTTTGGAATGGGTACGAAAAAGTTCGGCACTTTGCTTTTGCTGTTGTTTATTTAACTGGAGCGTTTTATTTAAGTGGTCGAAACATCGGATTCTTGCCAACACTTTTATTAACCACAACGGGGATGGATAAATTCCCAACGAGGTAATACACGTCCCAAAGAAGCTGGTCCGACTATAAGGTTTAGAGGAACTTCGTGTGGACTTTACCATGACTGATTTACAAGATCCAAGGCAAGTACATTGATTCTTTTCTCGTTACTTTCGTTTCAACATGAAGTTGGCATAAACGAAAACCAGGAAGCAAGAAGGGAGAAAACAAAAATGTTTACAAAACAATAGAAACCATCTGCACATAAAATTGGTTGAGTAATTGATAATATTGGTAAATGACAGTACTTTTAGCAATAGCGAGAGTGAGAGCAGACAAGCTAAACAGTCGACATGCGAACTGTCCCTGTTATGAATGGTTGGTGTCATTTGCAACGAACGACAAGATTCGTACGGATGTCTAGATAGGACAACAGAAAGCCAATCAAATTACGCGCCTACTGTGGTGACGAGAGCACAAGGGATAAACTTTCACAATGTCCAGGTGTTGCAGACGCTCATGCGTCTTTTATCTGACTGGGTATGGTTGATGAAACAATGGAGGAAGATCAATTTATCCGACCCGCTGATGTGCTCATATTTTTCTTAAGCCATCCATCCATTCATCTTCAAGCTAATTGAGAGTAGAGTAAAATGCAATATAGAAGGCAAGAATCAGGGACAAGCCTCATGTTTGCAACCTTCTTTTCTACTAATCATTTTAGGCCGATCCGTCCTAACTTTATCTTTTCGTGCTCCTGTTTCTTTGTTTAAACTTCGCAGTTTTATTGCAGGTCGAGCATTTATCTGAGAAATCACATGTTCTTTCAACCTCGTTGCTTGTAGTATTATCGTTTATTATACATTTCTTTGACCTGTGCACTCCTGATCCAACGCATAGTGGTTATCGAGCTCGATGTTGCTCGTTGATATACTCGTTTCTGTCTTGCTTATTGTCTACGTCGACCGATGTCCCACGGTTTTTTTAATGTCCATGGCGGAATACCAATATCTTTTGTGTGCTTGCACCCGCCGACCGGCAGTCGTAGTGAATGCAGTGGCCATCTCCCTTCAATTGGACCCTCCAACCTCGATAACCTACCTAATGTTTCTGATGACCACACACACTAAGTTGTTCCACACAGTAACGAGATTGATCTATTTTATGCCCTATCCCACCGTTTACATTCACAGGCATTTATTGAACGGAACGATTACCTTCGAAGTGCCCGTTTTGGAGAATTTACACCTCTCTGGTGAGTGTTATCAAAATCTGAAGCGTTTGTTAATGAATCTATCTCGTCACACATGTATTCGTCATTTCACTTAGTGTTACAGGCCTTACATCCGACCCTTCATTGCCTCGAAGTGCTCAAGACCGCCAATTCAGCATTGAAAATAGCACATCCGAACTTGTATGCGAATGCCCTTGCTCAGCAGGGCAATGTGTTCACCGGTACGCCGTATAGATGCTTGCTTACCACCATTTACGCGCAGACCAGGGATTCTGTGAAGATTCGAACTGGTCAGATTTCTTCAAATGCACATTCATGTGAAAGACCGCAAGTTCAAATCATGCATTCCCAACCGCGGCACTACCTGTTGTTGCTTCTCTGCGGCCAGCAGTACCCGGAATTAGTAGGACTCGTTCGCTTTCTCCAATTTGCTAGTTGCATCGCGGTGATGACAAGCGTGCGACTGCTACCCATTCTCGCATGACACTCGCTTGTACGCAATGATGCGATGCTCAGATGAGTACGACTGGACTGAAGCGGTTGCGATGACCAAAGCACGATTTTTGTGCACCTCTCCCCGTTAACACTTACTGGAACAGCGATTCGTCTCACTTTCTCCACCGCAGGATGGCGCGATGCCCCAGCGAAACAATCACCAACTTTGTAATGGAAATGAGTACTTTACATGCTGGTGGTATCTATGATGTCGGTTCGGCTTGGCTTTCAGACTGAGATTCATTCCATCCGCCCTAGCGGAATGTTCCTCGCAGTCGGTGTCCGGCAGTTGTCTGAGTGTCAAGTCCGGTTGTGACGCCAGTCAACAGAAGCATGAGGGCCTACTGTAAGCTTTCGGTTTGACATCTAAATTACATTTTCATTCTAATGTGGAGGCTATAGAATGAACAAGATATGCCTCTGCATCCAATGTGGAACGTTACGGTCTATACACAAACTGCTTGATAACCTCATGAGCGGCTGAACAAATCCGCGGAATTAGCAGTCTCTCGAGAACATTTAGAAGCGCAGATGTACATGCAATCGGGCAATACTTTTGAGACGCAAATTTACATGCACTTTAGCCGTCTGATCTGTCCTAGGAATCGGTCCGTCACCGTATAGTAGTACCCTTTGGGCTTACTCCTGCTCTGGCAGCGTGATGTCTGGTAACCTCCGTGCCTCTTTTTACTACCCAAATTGTATCCATAACCGTCGCTTCCCCTCCTGGTAACAATCCGAGCTGCCTAATCGCGCCACCTTCATCGTCATCAATTCACTTTAACTGAGAAGCACTTTAACGAGAAGCACACTTGAACTATTGTGTTGCAATGCGAAAAGATATATGAAGAAATGAGATACAAAACATTATAGAATACAAAAAACCAACAGGTAATACACTACTTAGTAACATCTTATGCTTCAAGAGTCAGCTCGTGGTTGGAGAGGGAAGATAAGCGAAATGGGGAGGGACGAAGAAAATCACAGCACAAACGCCATTAAGTTCGACTCTTTGCCATGCCAACTAGTGTATCCAATTAAGGATATTCCCCGTCTTTCATACCCCAGTCCGGCAGTCAGGAGACAACATCCGACGGCTCCTGAACTAATCATCTGTTGGCCTCCTCTTCGCTTTCTGCATCCAGACCGCGCGTGCACAAACAACGCACGACACTGGAGTCGGCATGATGGTAAATGACACCACCGTTTAACACCTAACGACAGCCCAAGAGTATTGCAGTACCCCTTCACGGCTCTTTCGTATGCATCTTCACGTCCTTCTAAGAGATCACCTCCCTCTAATTCGCATCGAACACCGCCACCTCATGAGTAGGTCGATTTACGCGTCGACGACTCTTGTTGCTCTTTTTGCATTTCATCAGCATGGATATTTTATCCACTGGCTTTATCCCTAGGCTGTTGCCTGTGAGTTCAATGTTAAATTTTCTTAACTAAATTTACTACTAATGGTTATTGCTTACGTGTTTTTTCCATTCTGTGCTCAGGCCCCACTTCGCAGGACAACGGGGGCTTTCCCCATTCTCCCGATTCGCTTTCATTGCTCGCACCGGATTTTGCGGCTTCTGCGGATCAGTTAACAGATGTCCCTCCTACGGTACGTTTTTGGCCAATTTTTACGACGAAAATGACCCTTTTTGACTCAGTTACAAGCGACCAACGGAGCACGCTTTTCTCTCTTTCACTGCATCACACTTCTGCGCCAAGTGATATATAGGAGCATACGAGATTTACCGCCAGTGACAGTGACGACCTTATTCGCTGTCTAGATATCGCACGCTGTGCAGTGAATAATGCATCTTCTTAGTGGCCCTGTTGTGACAAGGTTTTCCCCCAAATTTAACTTGTTATTTCTCTAGTTTCCGTCGTTACTCGTCGCACCTGCCGTACCTGATATCTTTCTATCAATAACATCATGAGTCGTCAACCAAGCTGCTTAGTATCTCCAATGATTGCTCGAGCAATAACTACGGTGGTGGTAGCAAGCAGTGCATCAGCACTTACTCTGTCTTTAAACACAAGTTATCATTCAAAGGCTCGTCTCACATAGACCTTCAGTCGAAGCCATCCCCCTTTAACCGAGCCTTGGTCATCCCACGTAATCGCGTGAAGTTCAGAAAGCTAAACAAAACACGAAGCTTTAAACGAACAGTTGTTTTCGATTGATTCTTCTTCAAGCTCATACAATAATATACCTTAGGGTAAGGTCTGTTGCAATCGTCAGTATAACAAAGAAACAATTGTTCAGAAAATTTAACTTGTGATCATGATGGCAGTCGTGTGATCACAGGACTGAAGTCAGGTGGAATTGCGGAGTGCCATCACTTCCTTTGCGGCTGGTGATCGGCCAGGGAATTTGTAGTGATTGTATTAGCTTCTTCTTGACACACAAGTTCGGATTTGTTAGGCATTTTGCCTCGGCGGTGCCAAGTAGGCTTGCTCTTACACGATGGTTTTGCCTTGGTGGTATTTTGTAGAGAATCTGAAATGATGTTCGTCTGTTTATCTAGTGGCCTGTGTTGATTATATGGTTTGGAATCGCGCTGCAGTTTATCCTATTCTCGCGATTGTAGAGCCAATCTGGGAGGTGTTCCTTAATTCTCTTACCTAAATGCCTGGTCGTCCGTCCAACGTACGTGGCCCCGCACGGGCAGGTGAATCGGTAGATTAACATTGACTGGAAATGATCAGGCACTCGGTCTTTGAATCTCGGAACTAGTAAAGGTCTGCTCGTGAAAATCACATTCAGCTTAGCCGCATTAAAGGTCTTTTTGCAGCTTTGCTGTAGTCGACGCGTACATGTCTTAGCCGTACTATTTCCTTTGAATAGAACTGTCAAGTAAATCTGTTTCTTTTCAGCGGTTTGTTTTGATACTTTTGGTATGCATCGCCTCATATGGGTCTCGATAAATCGCTCCGGATATCCATTTTCGAGCAGCGTTTCTTTGATTCGTACGAGTTCGACTTTTATGGTGTCTTCGCTGCAGATTTTGTATGCCCGATCGGTTAGCGTTCCCATCAGCGTTCTTTTTGGCTGAGCCCGAAGAAGAATTAATCGAAAACTATTGTTCGCTTAAACCTTCGTGTTTTGTTTATCTTTCTGAACTTGACGTAACAAATGGGCATTCTGCTTGACTAATCGCGTGATCATCATGATTCTGAGCCTCCAAAAATGCATCAATGTTACCTTCTTCATTCCACCTTATGTTCCCAAGGCAATCTTCCGTTCGTGTTCCTGTGTTGTTGTTAAGTCAGAAGCGCGTTTCCCTCGGATTTTTCGTTGTGATCTTTTGTTTTCCACTTGGTGCTTCTTCTTCTCATTCAGTATTTCATTCTTGCGACGACAATCATGATGACGGTGAGAAGCATCAGTGTAAGCAGCCGATATGCTGTCACTGATGGTGCTAATTATTAAATCAATCCTCGCGTACTTTTTCACTTACTGTGTCGTTAATTGCTGTTTTGACTTGGAAATTCCATCTCTTCCTGGCACCTGTTTGTATCAGCTTACCATAACGAAAGATTACCATTATATCGGTTTTCTCGCCTGGGTGTGTAGCATGCTTTGCTGCACTTGTTCAATCCGTCACTCTGCTCTCTCTCTCTCTCTCTCTCTCTCTCTCTCTTCCACTTAAACTTTGTACATTTGGTGAACTTGGATGCTGATCTTCACGGAGTCATTTTTACAGGGCTACGCACGGGCGAGGAAACACCCATAACTCCGTAGTTATATGCTAATCTCCCAAGAAGTCTTCAGTTTTCCCGTCATTCCCATCGTGTGTGGATGAATAAGCTTGCCATGTGACAACGAGCCTTAGCCTACAAATGATACATGGCTGTAATAATCTAACTCGCTTTTGGACACACTCCGAGATTAAGCATAAATTTTCGGTGAACATAACCTGTCAATGCGGTGCATGTGGTGATTTTTCCTTTACGCTGTTCCCGTGTGTGTCTCTTGTGGTTCTTTAGTGTTTTGCTTCAGGCATCCGTACGCAAAACTTCTCGTTACGGATGTAGACAACTCACTGTAGTTTTCCTTGACTATTTCGTTTGTTAATGCGGAGGCGATTACATTGGTAAAATAGATCGCTGTTTTGGACAGGCGGATTGGAGAGCATGTTCCGAAGCAGATTGCTAAGATGATTGCGCAATAAGCAACAAACAGGACAAGTAACAACAGGATGACTGCTGGCATCATGCATCGCCAAAACGCCTAATAGGGACAGATTACCAAGGCAATCCGGGCTCATCGTTTACGGTTGTCTACTGAAAAGAAAACGCCAGAGTGGTGATGTTTGACGATGCAATGACTCTTACTCGGCACCGTTCTACTCTTTGTATACCGTGGGACGCTATACTCGCTTTGATGGCTTCTTTGTTGCATCCAGTGATTCGTATTTTTGTTTCTAAACGCTTTCCTTTATGACCACTTTGCAAACATTCGATTTTTTCTGCATGAACAATTCATTTGCTGTTAGTTTGCAAGTGATCAGTGAATAGGAAAAACTAAATGATACACAGGACTCGGTGCTTTAAGATGACATTTCCCGTAAATCCTGATAGCTTGTTCTGTTACCTTTCCACGATTTCCGGGGACTGAAAGGTTCTTGCAGTCTTCTCAGCTGAAAGTAGTGTGTGCTAAAGCTCTCGTGTATCACCATTCCTCTTCTACATTCTACTCCAAATGATTTTAAGCGAATAATCTCTCCTATTTTTCGGAATACAAGTTCTGCTAAGTGATCATAGGGTGACGTAACTCTGTCTAGGTCGGATTCAGCGGTTATGCAAGTATTGGTGGATATACACACGCGTAATACTACGCGCTTCGGTAGGCACGTTCGTCTTTTGTGGCGCATAGTGCTGATACAGGACTATTGCAAAACTAGTCCGGTACGCCGCTGGTTCTAGTTCTCGCTGAACAGCCACTGCACGGGGTGAGTTGGTTCACTGACTCTGCACTTGCTAGTGTCGTCACTAAAGATATAGTTCACATATCAACGAAGCCGGAGACTCAACTCTTTGTGGAGACATTGGGATATCAGCCTGTAAGTGAACAGTAGGGTGTTCAACACCACCATAAAGCCGGTGTCGCTGTTTGGACCATAGACTTGGCCAATTCGCAATGAAGATATCAAGCGATTGGCCGTGTTTGATCACCGATACTTGCGGAATACCGTTCTGTTGGAAGCACAACGTGAGCAATGCGGGGGTGCGCCATATTTTTTGGCAAGGAGTCCTCTACTACGTCACTCGAGTGTTTGCCGAATCTTAACCACCTGCGTTGCCTAGGTTATGTCTGGCCTCAAGCATAAGGCTCCTCCTTCGCTACCTTGAGCATTTTCTGCACAATGTTCTGTCGGGCTTTTTTCCATATCCTAGTATTGCAGACGTGACGGTGTCCAAATTGACCATATTGCAATCAGCTACAGATGGCGCACATGAGTCCAAGACTGTCGGTCAATTTGGAGCATATGCCTGGATTTCCACCATGCTCTAGTACGCGCACGCTTGGCGCTCACTCTTCCCACTTCAAAAAGTGCCTATCTTCTACACTTTTTACTTGTAACCTGAATTCACAATCTGCATTTCAACAATCTGCATAAGGAACTTCCCACCGAATGTCAGTGATGAATGAAGTTGGTGAACCGAAAGCTGACTGGGATCGTCTCAAGTATGCCATGAGGAATGTTTTTGACGTCTGCTCTGCATCCGACTTGTGACTCCGTAACTCTGAACGGATCTCTTAGACATTGATCAGTCTAATCGAAGCACGTAAACAGTTTCTGATGTGTACTGCGTTTCAGCATGTCCGTAGCACCCTGAAACGACGCCTGACAAGGAGTTTTCCAATCGACTGTGAACGTTGTTGGATTGCAAAGGCCCATGAGATGGAGAAAGTTAGTGTTATTGGAAATAGCCGGGTACTGTTCCAGCTCATCCGGAATACGAATCTGAGGAAATCATCACTTAGCTAGACAAAAGCTAAGAAAGATGGACTGTTTATCCACTATCAGCGTCGCTGACTTGCCCGTTGGGTGAAACATTTTGAGAAGCACTTCAGCAGGCTTGTTGCGACATTGCCGCTAGCCGAGTCATCTGAGCCGACGTGGGAAGTAGATGTCACACCTACTTTGGAAGAGATTCGACATGAGCTCGCCGTGGTAAAGGGAAACAAGGCTCCTCTCCCCGACGACCTCCCATCTTTGCTGAAATATGGGGGTGACACTTTGTGGATTGCACTTGCTTCTCATTTGGGATACTGAAGAAGTGCTTTCAAATTGGCGACTTTCAACTATCGTGCCCATCTTCTAGATGGGTCAGCATACTTTGTGCGAAAATCATCGAGGTATTAGCCTCAAAGCTTCTCACTGGTATCATTCTTCGACGACTTAATGGCTTCACTGAAATCCAGGCTGGTTTCCGCCATGGCCGTGATTGCATCGGTCACATATTTACTCTTCACCAAATCTTGGAGCAGATACATATACAGACGACTGACAATGGTGGTTTTCCTTAACTTGACAGCTACCTTTGACTCTATTGACCTCGACAGCTTGTGGCACTGCCTATCCAGCTAAGCTCCTTTCCATTTTG